CTTTCTAGTTGTTCTTCTATCTCATCTTTTAATACACAAATTTCTATACTACTTTCTACTAGCTAAATATCTTCTATTGTTTAGAACATCTTGTCATCTCATTTATTTAAAGTTAGATTGTCTTTTAATGTTTTCAGATAGTTCCATGTTATATATGATTTTTGGTTGATGAGTTTGTATATATGATTCTTGTCTATAGTTTTTAATAATTCTGTTATGAGAAGATCATTGTGTGTTTCTGTCTATTCAAAGTGGTTCATTTTGTATTGATACTTTAGAGCTGATAATTATGACAAAAGAGTTGGGGATGTAACTCTGTTATGTATGTAGGTGATAAACTTAATGAGATTTTCTTTGGTAATAGGCCAAATCCTTCCTTGTGAATTAATCCATTAATTTTTGAATGCAATTGTTTCATATTGTTTTACTGCTAACTTGTATGTCTTATTTATTCTTGCTTCTGTACTAAGTAGAGATGCTGCCTGTTGATTAAGTGGTTGTGTTGGGTTTGAGAGCCTAGTTGTAATTTGTTAGTTTGTTTGTTTGCTTGTTTGCCTTGTTGTTAGTAAGATGAGGTCTATTGTATAAATCTGTTAAAATAATAAGGGGATTGTTGATATAAGGTTAGTATACTTGTGTGGGATTACAGGTTGTAAATAATGTGATGTTAAGTTTTTGTTTAAAAATTGTCTGTAGCCATTTCATAACAACAGATCTGCTTCTGAGTTTGTTTTTCCTAGTATATACTCTATTTTAATTGAGAAATTCCTATGTATTTAGGTTTGATATATTTCTGCTACTATTTCATTAATTATTAAATGCTTACAAAAACCAGAATAAATGGCTTCTACATTTGCCAGATTGTCTGATCAGATAATAAATCACTTTTAAGTCCATATTGAAGAGAATGTTAAAATTGCAATAAGTATTGTTAGAAGTTCACATTCTTAGATATTGTGCTAAAATAAGTTTTTCTTTTTGGACTAGTTAAAAGCAGTAAAATAAGATCTAAATATTATACCTTTACCTAAGTTAGATGTATCAGTAAAGAGATTTTGTGTAGCTAGGCTAAACTATTATTAATCCTCTATGAGATATTGTCGCAATCTACTATTTGATATTTGATTTCATAGGACTATTTATCTTTATATGAGATTGAAGCTATTTGTTATGCTTAGAGCTTTAATAAGATATTGTAAAAATAGCTGTCTTTGTAGAAGGATTTGATATGTTCATATTAATGACCCAACCAGAGATTGTAACTCTTTTCTAAAACACTAATACTTGTTTTCTTATTGTTTTAGCATATTGATTATTTTGGATTTTTTGTTCTCAGAAAATATAACAGTAAATAGTTCTATGTAAAGATGAATATTAAGAAAAGTAATAAAGGTATTTGAGCCTTCAAGTTTTGATAGCTTGTGTGATATATTTAGAATACTAAGTATACAGAAAAACTGATTTAACTCATCTTGTGTATTTGCTTTTAATATAATTAAAAAATTATCTACATAATAAATTATCGATTTTATCTCTTGCTGTATCACAATCTATATAAGAATATCAGTAAATCTACAAAATATTCCTTCTGATGCTCAATTTTCAAATACTGAAACTTTGTCAAAATATATTTTGTTTTTAAATATAATTTCTTGAAATACCTGGTCTATGAGATATACTGGTAAAATTCTATAAGCATCTTTTATATCAATTTTTGACAGAAAATATTCTTGTCTATAGTATGTAATCTATTTAATAGTATAGCTTATATTTTCATACTATATACTAAATTCAATCTGTTTATGCCATTGTTTATACTTGCTCCAAAAGAAGCTAACAGATATGATATTACATGATATTCTTTAGAGTTTGTATTTTTTTTCTCTACTAAACTACAAGGATTTATTTGAAAGAATTGATATGATAACTAGTGTTCTAAGAAAAGACCATATATTCATCCTTGTACAAGTTCATTCTGAATATATCTTGCAAATAATAAAGGGTTAATTTCTATTGTTTTTAAGTTCTCTTGAATTAGCTTAGTTCTTTGATCTAAGAAATTAAATCTAAATCTATTCTTAAGTCTATCAAGCAGATATGATATAAACAATTAATTGGAATGACTACTTGTAAAGTATCTAAATATATTAATATTAATTAGAATAGAAATATTAAAAATATTAGAGTTAAGCTATTTGCAAATTTTACATTCAGTATCTGTTAGAGGTATATTGCATAGAGGAATAGCAGTGAGTGTGTAATTAACAGACTGAAGAGTAGAAGCCTTTAATAATATAATACTTCAAGCTGCTTTGTATTATATAAAATATCTAAAATATACTACTCTTTCAGGATCTATGAAATTAGACAATTAGCAGAAGTTACTAGATAAATAAGTATTTGCTTAATACTAAAACTTTGTTTATTATTCATGTATATAACAGTTTAATAATGCAAATCATATGCTAGTATTAATGCTATAGTTTGTTATATATGTTTAGTTAAGTATCAAAAGTAGAACTCTTTAAGGTTGTATAACTTATATCTCTATTGTTGCTATTATTATCTATTTCTCTTCTATATTTTTTTTGTTTGTTTGTTTGTTTGTTTATTTATATTGTAATTAACAATTGCATATCTAATTGCTACAGAGTTATATATAGTATAAATAGCCTTATTGTTATGTATTTTGATCTGTTTTGTTACTATCAGATAGATTATTTTTCTTAGGCTATTCTTTTTAAAACATCTCTGTTTATTGTAGTTAGTTTTCTTACAAATCAGATAGGTATAAATCCTTCTACATATCTTTTCATTTGCACAGTATTATTTGTTCTAATTGATACATATCTCTCTACTATTATGCCATTCTATATCATATCATATAGTCTAATGTATATTATATTTATACTTTTTTGTAGTTATTACATCAAAATTTCTGCTTTCAACTTCAATATCTCAATTAAGGAGTATTAAATCCTGGTTTGTGACTAGAGTTACTTTACAATCTTCATATAAGATATCACAGTAAGAAAATTTTGTTTAAAACATAATTTACTAATATGATCTTTGTATGAATTAAGTTCATATTATCTATTTTCATAAATAATGAGAATAGCATCTATATATACTTTAAAGGTTAACAACTATTCTGAAATATCTGTAAATACTATATAATATAATTGCTTTTTATTGAGATTATATTACCTTCTGCTAATTGTAATATAAGTTCATCTTCTAGTTCTTTTATGCTAGATAGCAAATTTTTGGATGTAAATTCTTAAAGGTTTATATATAAAACAGAAGCAATTGCTTTCCATAGTTTAGACAATACATTAGGTTTAAAAAGTAATGTTTTGATCATTTTTTGACTTTCTGTCCAATTTATGACTTATCAAATTCATATACTTTCTGTATTCGCTACTTGGGAATTAAAAAATCTATGAATTTTTTGAAAACTTTTAAATTTTGTATAATCAAAGGATGGATATTTTTATGATATTAATTTGAATAAATATGAGTTTGCAAATATTATAGTTGTGTTTTAGTCTTAAAGAGTAATCTTGGATGCCTTCTTAATGAGATTATTTAATACTAGTATTGGAAAATATTTATCTGTAGATTGTTCAGTCTCTTTTTACTTGTTTGTTAGTGAATGCTGAGTTAGCTAGTTTTTGTAGCTGTTGTAATGATATTTTATATTTTGCTAGTATAGAGCTACTGCTTAGTTCTGTAGTACTAGTTTCATTGCTAGTTTGGTTATTAGTTTGTATCATCTGAGCTAACATATTATTAATATTTGATTGAAGCTGTTTATTCTATAGTTTCTGTCTATTAAATTGAGAATCGATATATTGCTTAATAGATCTAATAACTGATATAATAGATAAGGAGATCAACTCATCGATATATATTTTTACTAAGGAGTCAATATTTATTTTGAGCCTAAGATTGTTTAATGTTGTAACTAAAACAGATATATTTGAGACTAGTTGAATATTCATATATAGTTCTTTGTTGTAGTTATATAGATTTGGTTTTGTGTTGCTCATAGTTTGATTTTGAGAAATTTGTTTGCTGAAGACTAATGTGTCAAAGTAAGAAAGGTATTGAAGCTACTTGTTTTTAGTTATTTATATATTGATTGTAGTAGTTGGCTTTTATATTATATTTGTTTCTAGTTGCATATTAATTCATGCAATTTTACTAATTAACACATTCTTTGATCTTGACCTATACTCTTTGCTTCATGATCTAAGTATAGAGTTATAGCAAATAGTATATAACTCTAATCAGTTCTTCCCTTACTTTTCAATCTGCTGACTCTTGTCAACATATACAAAATAAAAAAAAAACTTATTAAATTAGAAGTATCAGATATTTAAGAATTAATGAAAATGATTTTAAATTTCTAGCAAAGAATTCTTAATGAATACCTAATTATATTTCATAAATATTTTCTAAAATTACAGTAAATAAAAAAAATAGATATCAATTTTTATCTAATAATTATCACTAAACTTTTAAAAATTTAAAGTTTCTTGATAATAACCTAGTCAAATTTGAGAAAAATTTCTTATTTTAATTATTGATATAAAATTATAGAATTAAAATAAACAAATTGTGCTAAAAATATTGTTGCTATATCAGAGAGTTCTCTAGAGTAGGATAACTATTAAATTGATAATCTAGAGGTCATGTAGTTCAATTGATCATCTAATTAAAATCAATTTTATCACAAATATAATTTGTTTTAAAATCTAAAAACTTAAAGAATTCTATAGATCTGTAGAATTTGAATAAAATTTTTTATTCAATTCAGTTAGGTAGATATCTAGATATTTTTGTTCAAAGTTTTAATATTTTGCTACAGCATATAATTTTTAATAGATATTCTATTTTTTTAAAATTTAAATAAAAATATATTGACTCCTAGACAACAAATTGAATGAAAATTTTTTTTATTTGAATTCTATGGATCCATAGACTTTGAATAAAAAAATTATTGTTCAATTCAGTTAAATAAGTATCTAAATATTTATATTCAAAGTTTTAACATTTTGTTGTAGCATATAATTTTTGATAGACTTTATTTTTTAAAAAAAAACTTTAATCAAAAATATCTTGACACCCACCTAGCAAAATTGAATAAATTTATTTCATTTTTATTTGAATTTTATAGATCTGTAAAATTTGAATAAAAAACATAAACCTTAAATAGTGATATACAACTCTCTTCATAGATCATTTTGACCAATTCTGGAGCTAAAGAAAAAACAGAAATAAGTCAAAATCTATATTAAGAAACAGGATTAGAAGGACTAAGCAAAAAGAAAGATAACTAGAAACTATACATATTATAGTAGAAGAACAAAATAAATTTTTTTAGGTCTGGCGATCTTAGTGTAGTGGTTAGGTTGCCAGACCGCCATGCAAGAGGTCTGGGGTTCAAATCCC